CTCTCATTTTGATCTTCACAATGACCTGTTTTGAAGGCTGGGCTATTTGATTTTACAGACAAGAAAACTGAAACCCAAAGTGCTGAATAATTTATAGAGCACAGTGATGATTTTCTTGGAGGATCCGTGTCTTTGATAATGTTCTGGCCAGGCTGAGGGTCTTTGTTCAGTATTGATCTCTGCAGTGTGACCCACAGCAGTTTTACTATGGAAATGGATTTTTCTGAGCTACTGAAACCTGGGATCAGAACCATGAGAGCACCAGTGCATGTGAATGTGGGATTTCCATACAGGGCTATTTCCTGCCCATCACCTGTAGAGTACACCTGACTTTAACTTGGGGGCTGTTGCTACTGGTTAGAGAAATTATTTGGTTGGAAAATGACAAAGCCACTGTCTACATCATAGGTCAGCAAACTTTTGTTTTTCTATAAAGAAAGCCAGATAGGAGATACTTGAGGCTCCATTACTACTACTCAACTCTGCTGATGTAGTGTGAAAGCAACCCCAGACAATATGTAAGTTAATGAGCATGAATGAGTTCAAATAAAATGTTATTTACAAGAACAGGTGGCAGGCTGGATTTGGCTCCCAGGCTGTAGTTTGCCAACCCCTGATCTAGATTTGTAAAGGCATTTCTGCTATGCCTTGTGAGACTTAAGACTCAACTCTGATTGTTTGGTATATGAGACTGACAGACACTCCCCAAATCAGAACAAATATAAGTGCAGTGGATGACAGCAGCCATCTGTTGAAATGATAAAGATGTTTTCTCTAAATGATTGGCTGAGCCAATCGAGACTGAACAATTACTGGCCCAACTAACATGTAGTTTTATTGAACCCTGGTTGAAGAAAAATCAGGAACTTGAAAGCAAGAATGTGTTAGTATTTGTCCAGTATCGTGTGTGTGTGTGTGTGTGTGTGTCTGTGTGTGTGTGTGTGTATGTGTGTGAAAGAGAGAGAGAAAGAAAGTTTCAACTTTCCAATGATTCATGAAGACCTACCTTGGTGGTCTGAATGGAATGGCCCCCAAAATGGTCAGCCTCCAAATACCCATGTGTCAGCCTTTCTTTGTGTGTTCTGTCTTCCCTGGTTTGCTCTTGTAGAGAAGAATTATCCTGGATTGTGCTCATGAATATTCAAGTCACTGGAAAAAACAAATTCACATTGTAAAAAATAAAATGATGTCCTGTTTATATATTAGTCTTTTGGTATATGAATCTTGTTAGTATGAGTCAGTCCCTGGAAACCTAATGTCTTCTTAAAATCCTGGGAGAAGAATTTCTAGGACTTCCCTGGTGACGCAGTGGTTAAGAATCTGCCTGCCAGTGCAGGGGACACGGGTTTGAGCCCTGGTCCGGGAAGATCCCACATGCCACGGAGCAACTAAGCCCGTGCGCCACAACTACTGAGCCTGTGCTCTAGAGCCCGCGAGCCACAACTAATGAGCCCTCATGCCACAACTACTGAAGCCCGCGCACCTAGACCCCGTGCTCCACAACAAGAGAAGCCACTGCAATGAGAAGCATGCACACCATAGGAAGAGTAGCCCCCACTCACCACAACTGGAGAAAGTCCGCAGCAATGAAGACCCAACACAGCCATAAATAAATAAACTAAGTAATTAAAAAAAAAAAAGAATTTCTAGTCTCTCAAATGCTGAAGACCAGCCTGCACTAGGGTGATCCCACAGCACGTGGCCCTTGGAAGCCTTGTTTGGAGGTTGGTTGGAATCATGACATCTCCAACATGTCTTTTTTATTTTTTTTGGCTGCAATATGGTTACATTCCTCCTGACCTAGGCAGAGGGTATGTCTGCTGTCACTTGATGTAGATGTGTAAACTTACAGGGAACCAAAAGGCAGACAACAGAAATTTTATCCTGGAAAGTGGATGTGGCTATTAAAACTAGGCTGTTAGTCAAGGGGCTCAGTGAGCAGTGCGTTTAAAGGGCTAGAGCTGGAAACTTTTGTTTTAACTATCATATAATCCAGGAGAGACAAAAATCAGTTTACAAGTACTTGAGCATATTTTATCGTATGGGCAGGATTGGTTAGGCTTATGCTGTGCTAACAATTCTCAGATTTCAGTGGCTTAACAAAGAAACATTTATTCCTGCTCTCACAGAGTCTACTTGAGTGAGTGGGAAATGAGGATGGAGGGAGGGCTCTGCTCTCTTCTCCACTCAACGACCCAAGCTGATGAAGACTTCACCACCTGGAATGTCAACAGTTGCTGCAACAAGGGAAAAGAGAACCTGGAGAATCACACGGGGGCTTTTAAAACATTATTTCGTCCAACATTTCATTAGCCTGAATATTGGTCACGTAGCCCACCTGTTTCAAGGGGGCTTGAGGATGTAGTCCTCTATGTGTCTATCACAGGCACGGGGAGCCAAGAGGACCGTCTGAGACATGGTTGGAGCAGGTGAAGGAGTGAAGGAAAAACACCAGCTTGAGAAAGAGGAAGGACAGCCTATCTGCTTCCTGGTAGGTTGCCTAGTTCTCTGTCTGAGCTCTCCCAAAGTTCCGATCATATTGGGGGATGGGGGTGAAGGGGGCGTTTCCCAGTTGAACAGATAGGAAATCTAAGACAAGCCAGGGAGCTGCCACTCAGAAGCCATTTTTATCTAATTAATTTCACAAACGCAGAGTAACTCCTCCCCCAAGATTCTGTCTCTACTAAAAATCCTAAGAGCCAAGCTCCTAAAAGCATCCTTCCAGAAGGGAGATGGGGCTATAATATCCTCAGATTCCTTCCTTCCTTCCCTTTGTTGTTAAGTCTCTTGAGTTTAGGGACACCACTTAACCATTAGTTGTTTAAGAGAAACGACACGAGCCAAGCTAACTTTAATTGTTCCAGTCTCCTGTCTTAACTGACAGCACAGCTACTCCCTATGCCTATATACCAAATAAGGAAACTAGAGGATGAGGCAGTGAGGAGAGAAGAAAGAGCAGTGATTCCAGAGATGACATACCAGTGGGCGTCCTTCTCAAGTTTCCGGCAGACCACTGGAAGGCTGAGTTGAGCTGGATTCATTTAAAGAGGCTGGATGGGATGAACAGAGAAGAAACTGTGGGGATGTAGAGCTCTTTAGGCCTTTCTATTTTGGGGTGAGAAAAGAACTCACTAGTCATTTGTGATACCCATGGATTGAATCACATTTTCCCACAAAGCAAGGCTGGCAAAATTTTGGCCATCCTGGTAGGGAACTCTGGAATGAGAATCACCCATCAGAGTTGCCCCCATCAGGCCAGACTGGCCAGGGCCCTGTGCCCTCACCACCCTCAGTCTCTGCATGGGGCTGCCTGGGGAAGGGCATGACCTCATGCAAACACTCCTTGGAGTTGAGCATCGACTCATTCCTTGAAGGGTGTCTAGGCAGCACCTTTCCACATCTGCCACAGCTTTGTGCTCATTGTACTCTTCTTGCTTTTTAAATTTTCACTTTGAGAGGAAATCCAGAGATCTAGCCAGATTGTAGAGTTAGACTGTCTGGAAATGCCAGCAAATATATCTGGCTTGGATGGAAAGCCTGGGGTGTAATCAGCTTACTTGGTGACCCATTTCCCCTCTCACTGGTTAGCTACTAAGAGGATTTTCTTCCCTGAGGTCTTTTATAGGATATAATGTATATCATGAATCTTAGGGGAACCCATGGAATTTCAGTAGTCATCAGAAAGTACCCCAGGTAATGGAAAGCAGACTCTCTTCCAGAGTCTGTTGATGTGGGAGGCGAATTAAACTTTATTGGGCACCTACTCTATGTTAGGTACTTTATTTTGCATAATATTAATATTTCCTAGAAACACTATAAAGAATTCATTAATTTTCTCACTTTGCACAGGAGAAACTGACTTTCCAAAGATCTCAAGACTAGGAAGTATAAGCTAGATAGAAGACCCCATGGGACCGGATCTATAACAGTATTGCTCACCATGGCCTTCCTTGCACCTAGCAAAGGTGTGGCTTAGAGCAGATGACCAATATATATTTGTTGAATGAATGAAGAATGGCAGATCAAGTATACAAAACCACATATTATCTCACTTAAAAAATTTTAACAGGGCTTCCCTGGTGGCACAGTGGTTGAGAGTCCGCCTGCTGATGCAGGGGACACGGGTTTGTGTCCTGGTCCGGGAAGATCCCACATGCCACGGAGCGGCTGGGCCAGTGAGCCATGGCCGCTGAGCCTGCGCGTCCGGAGCCTGTGCTCCGCAATGGGAGAGGCCACAAAAGTGAGAGGCCCGCCTACCGAAAAAAAAAAAAAAAAAAAAAAAATTTAACATAAGAAATACACAGCGTTCAGGGAAGATTTATAACATGTGAAATACACAGCATTCAGGATAAATTATGTGATCCAGGATAAGAAACATGCTTTGATTTAATCAGAAAACACAATCTTGTGGTTTAACCTCTGTACCGTGATGCTTCTCTGATTCTGGTCATCCAAGCAGCAGGTGCAGCTGTCTTAACGCAGAAGAAAAATGAATCCACCACAGGAGGTGCTGGGGAGATTACCACTGATAGGAGTGGTTGCAGAATTACTTTGTTAACCATCATCTGCATTCACTTTTAGAGACTGGTTGAAAACTCTAGGTTTCAGAAGCCAATTGTGATTGATGAAGTATTAAATGTATTCTGGCCAAATCTCCTGAACCATAGTGCTCAGGACCTGCTTGTTTCTCAGATCTTTTTTATGAGACTGAGGGGAGGCAGTATCGGGACTGAATTGGACATCTGGCTTATAGTTTGCTCTCTGGGCTCAAAAACCAGAAAAACGGTGAATCTCCTGACCTTAGTTAAGAGACATAGCTCCCTCTTCTGGGTTCTTATTGAGCTTGTGATCTGGGCCATAACAGACCTCAGAGCATCCAGGGGCTTTGCTGCTACTGTGCTGACCTACATCATTATGGGTTACCAATAATAGGATTTGCCACTCGGAAGCTTGGACTATACTTATTCAAAAACTCATAAGGTAGTTTCTTACAGAAGAATATGGCTTCAGTTTCTCACTATTTCTTGCTAGTTTTGGTCTTTCTGGATTCACATGCAGCTTAGCTATCCTGTCTGCCAGGATGTACCTGCTCAGAGGAGAGTTTTGGCAGGTGCGCTGGGCTAACAAGATCCCAGAAGCTTGTAGGGGATGCGCTTTCTTTGGGGATGGTGTGAAGTGGGAGCAGGCCAAGATCTGGCAGGAAATCAGCAAAATCTCTGTGAGACTTCCTCTAACTGGTGCTGAACTTTGATAAACTGCACGCTTTTACCAAAATGGGTCTAACTCTTGTATTTCAAGAGAATCGTATTTTTTTCCTTCTAATTCATATGTCTAATGCCAGGATAAGCCTGATCCCACTTCCCAGTTTCCTGATGTACATCTCAAAGCTGTTGTGGTTTTTTGTACAGGACTCTGCAGTGCGTGTCTATCACTTTGGGAAAGATCCCAAGGAAACTTCCTGAAGAGTTCAAGCAAGTGAGAATTGAAAATTCACCCTTATTTGAACTGCCCCGAGGGTCTTTCATCAACGTGAGCACCTTGGAGTACCTTTGGCTCAATTTTAACAATGTCACTGTGATCCATCTAGGAGCCCTTGGAGCACCTGTCAGAACTGAAAGAGCTGAGACTGGAGGGGAACAAACTCCGTTCAGTACCATGGACGGAGTTCCGTGCCACCCCGCTCCTGCGGGTCTTGGACCTCAAACACAACAGGATTGATGCACTCCCTGAACTGGCTCTTCAGTTCTTGGTCAACCTGACCTACCTTGACCTATCCTCCAATAGGCTTACAGTTGTAGCCAAGAGTGTCTTCTTGAACTGGCCAGCCTACCAGAAACACCGGCAGCCTGGCTGTGAGGCCGAGATTCTCTCCAGCATGATGCTGGCGCTGCACGACAACCCCTGGTTATGTGACTGTCACCTAAGGGGACTTGTCCAGTTTGTAAAGTCCATCAGTCTTCCAGTAGTTCTGGTGAATCCCTACCTCATGTGTCGAGGTCCTCTCTCCAAGGCAGGGCAGCTTTTTCACGAAACAGAGCTCAGTGCTTGCATGAAGCCGCAGATCTCAACCCCCAGTGCCAATGTCAGCATCCGGGTGGGACAGAATGTGACCCTGCGATGCTTGGTACACGCTAGCCCCTCACCAACTATTGCCTGGACTTATCCCCTGAGCACGTGGAGGGAATTTGATGGTAAGTGCATGCACCCTCTCCACGTATCTGGTGGGGGGAGGGGGTTGGGGAGGTCTGTAGCAACCCTGCCCTCAGTAGAGAAGTTCTAAACTGGGTCAGTCATGAAGGAGGGGTGCAGGTAAGAGTGGGACAGACCTGAATTATACTCACCACGACAGAAAAAATTCCGAGACAGTGTTCCACTATTGGCATCATTTTATTATTATTATTATTATTTGGTCATGCGACTCAGTGAAAGCCCGGAATCCTAACCACGAGGTCGCCAGGGAACTCCCTATTGGCATTATTTTACATGGTTGTGTACAGATCTCTATAGGATATAAGATGTAAATATATGTACTCCATATAATATATATTTATATATTTGTTGCATACAGATCTATCTATCAATATAATATATATTTGTTACACACAGCTATGTATATATATATATATATATATATTTATATTTTTGCATGCAGGTCTCTATAGGAAGTAAGATGTAAATATATATATTACATACATATTTGTTGTATATATATATATTTGTATATTTGTTGCTTACAGATCTTGATAGGATGTAAGATGTTAATATATATGAATTGACTTAATATATTGTACTGATATAAATATTATAGAATTGTATATGAACACATATATTCTTTGAAAGCCTTCTAGATGCAAAATACCATACCGTGTATTTTTTTTTTTTTTTTTTTTTTTTTTT